CACACACACACACACACACACACGTGTGTTTGCGCGTGGGTATATATATACAAAATGTTAGCTATTAAAACAAACAAAAGAGTATTGTGTGGCTGTGCTGTTTATGCCAATTGATTTGCCCATGACCAAAAAAAAAAAAAAAACCCACCCCAGAAGAAAAAAATTGTAAATAATTTTATAAATATATGACATGAGATCTATTATGCTTGTTTTATTTTCCCCTTTTTTCTTTGTGTTTCTAACACTTTATAGCTGTCAATCCAGACTTGTGCACTTACATTTCCAAATGTCCCTCCTATGGTCACCGGATTGCACACTCAAGGCCCAAATGCATGCTTGATTATACATGTGGAATTGGAATTCTGGAGTGGTTTTGAAGTGGGGCATGTCAAGGAGAGAAGATAGGTCTTAACTGTGTCACAATCCTGACAAAAATCTGGTCTTTAATGAACTGACTCTCTTGTGGCTGTTGAGGGTTGAAGAGAAGGGACGGGGAGCCTTATCTGTGTTGGCAGATAGGGACATGCATGGACATACACACCCTTGTGTGACACAAGTGCACACAAAGTCTCTTCTCCCACCTACACAGCAATCTCCCTGTCCCCAACCATTTCCAGATTTTTATCTCATCTCTGGACATCACAATGTTGCAGCAGCTCCTGCTACTTTTTTTGAAAGCACCTTTTTCAGCCTTGCGAGCTTCTTGGTCAGAGATGTCTGGAAGGGGAGTCAAAAAAGTCAAGACAGTGGCAACAACCATGCAATTGAAGCCCCACTACCTTTTTTACCTGCATTATGACACACATAAAAAACGTGGTGGTTGCCACCATCTTGACTTTTTTTGACACACCACACACACATACACACACACACCCCTGTTCTCACTGCATAAACCAAGGCCTTGTTCCTGATAAGGCTTAGGGTTCACAAAAGCTCTCAGTGCCAGATATTTATTTTCTCCGCAAAGAGGGATCTTGCAGAAAACATGTCTGCAGTTTCAAAAGAAAAGTGGGCAGGTGCAGTAGGAGTTACACTGGCAAGCCATAGGCCAAGGCAGGAGCAGAAGATTTGTGGGGAACCATGTCAGGCCATAGTGAGAGCCAGCTTGGTGTAGTGGTGAAGACTTCAGGCTGGAAACAGGGAGACTGTGAGTTTGAGTCCTGCCTTAGACACAAAAGCCAGCAGGGTGACCTTCAGCCCTAGGAACGACTTCTGAAATCTTGCCAAGAAAATTGCAGGGGCTTGTCCAGGAGTCAACACTGACTTGAAGGCACACACACACACAAAAAAGTTATACCAAAGGTCCGTGAAAACCTGTCCCAAAGGGAGGTAGACTGTAACAGAAATTTGTGGGGGATAGGCTTACCCTTACCTTTACAGAAAACGGCATATAAATGTAATTGTTCTTGTCTTGTGCTTCCTTTGGCAGCACATATACGAATTGTTCTTATCCTTTGAAAAGTATGTTGTGCCAAACAAATGCAAAAAATAGCTACCTGCTTAGCAGTCTATCAGCCTATTTTTTTGACTGATTGGCTCCCCAATTATTTCAAGTCTGGTTTAAAAATATGTAAAAACCATTTCAGTATATTTCTAGATCATCAACACACAAGCCACCATCCTAAAAGTGTTTAACTATTATTCCTCTGAGACCAGCTATACAAAAGGTAATACCCAAGTTTTTGTAGCTACATGAAATGTGTGATTTATTCATGTTTTGTGTAACTGGACTTATTTCACTTTCGAACCTGTCTCAGGCTCTTTTTTCCATCTTTCGTCATGCAGTGGGCATGTAAAATTCAATAATAATAATAATAATAATAATAATAATAATAATAATAATAATTTATTAAACTTGTGGCTGCCCAATTACCAATGACTCTGGGCAGCTCACAACAGTCAAAACAAAGAAATTACAATAAAACCAATAAAAGGGGGGGGAAAGATAAAAAAACAAAAGATGACAAGAATAACAGAGTGGATAGAATGAAGCGAGGAGTCTCACTCGCCCTTGCCAAAGTCCTGGGTGAAGGTCTTCTGAACAACAGTAGAGTGGGGACCATCCAGATCTTGTTCCAGAGGGCAGATGCTGCTACAGAAAAGGCCCACTTCTGAGGTCCTGATAGATGACATTATTTAATTGAAGGAACATGGAGTGTGCCAACCCTGCAAGATAGAATTGGCCAGGCAGATACTATGGGAGACAAGCAGTTCAAGTAACCAGGTCCTATGCCAAGGGGTAAAACAAACAAACAAACAAACAAACAAAAAAACCCTCTTCCTATTTCAAAGAACTAGATCTAATCTGTTGAAAAGCCTCAAGACTGAGAGCACCTTCCTAATTTCATAGTATACCTGCATAGAAGAAATGCATCAGTCTACTGATGTCTTGCTAAAAGAACTCACTAGATCATTTGGGGAAGAACACCATTCTATAATGGTTGTTGTTGTCAGGAGGAGGAGGAGGAGGAGGAATAAGTTAGAACTGGGGGTTGGTTATAAAGAGTTCTTGAATTTTATCTATTTAATAAAACAAACTGGTTGTTTTTGACCAGCATGCATAACCAGCATCTAAACATTAAACATCTAGCAAGTGTATTTGCAGAACATGCAAAGCTTGGTTGGTTTTAATAATTGTTTGCTTTTTTCCTACCCTAGTTTCTATGATTGTATAAACCCAAAATATGGGTTTATTCAGTAGGAAGATTAAGCATGTGCAAAATGCAACCACAATTTCTAATGATACTTCCTTTCTATCTTTTTGGCTATAAATCTAAAGGGTTTATTTTACCCGTACAGATAGCCCATTCAGTTATTCATCAATGCATATTTTGGGGTAGGATTCATTGTTACTGATTGAAAAGATGTATCTTGAAACCAAATATTCCAAGAGACTCTACACAAAGGGGGTCTTTATGGTGATTCCTCTGATGGACCAGGCACCTCACAACTTGATATGCTTGACAAGTGAATTACACAAGCCCCATAATGTATATGATGTTTGGTATGACAAGTTTGAAATACAGCAACACAAGTGTCTACAATTATCCAGTGCCAAGAGCTGCAAAGATGCTATAGGATACCCACCTTGGAACTAAATTGCCCATTTTTCCACTTTTCCCATAGCACTCTCTCCAATGGCCAAATTAGGTTGTGATGTCGGCACAGGCCCAGTGGTGCTGTAACATTAATGACTTAGCAGACTCTGCTCTTGATTCTGCTCTATCCCTGATCATTGCCAGCTGGGACATCAACATTTTGTGTAGTCTCACACAGCTTAAAACACAGCTGTGAACTTCCATATGGACCAAACTTGATTCCACTTCCCTTGTCTACAATGGACATTTCCAAGCTGTCATTAGACATATAGGAATGCTATGGCAGATTCTTTGGGGGAAAAAGTCTGTTGAAAGACTGAAGCTTTTGAAAAGTAGATTTCATCTGAAAAGTAAAGGAAAACCATAACAGCACTTGGGTGACGAAGTCATTATCTGAAGATTTTCCTTGTTGTCATTCTTTAAACAGAGCCCTGGACAGCCATCCTTGTGAATGTTCTTTAGTTTCCTGCACTGAACAGAGAGTAGTTCTGATAGCCTTCAAGGTACCTGCCAAATCTATGACTTTTACTATTCTTCCTATATTCCCTCTCCTTACTGCAGGTAATGATTGTTTTGGGGAAGATAAGGGCACTGAGGAAATTTGATCTGTTTCCCGAGTGAATGGGTCCTGTGCCCATAGAGGCTTCCAGCTACTGTTTCGATAAACTATAATGCTGTGAGATCCTGCCACACATCTTCCTTATAGATTTTATTAGTTCTTCCCCTCCCACCAGGCACCAGTAGGGTTTTCTGTTTAGCACCAGTAGACTAGCAGCCATTTTAATTTCTCAAAATTCCCTAGCATGTCCCCATAAGAGTGTGTTATTTCAGTGCAATGAAGATCTACATAGTACTGCAAATGCTTCTATTGAACTAGCACACTAAATTTAGTGAAAATGTGGTCCGAACATTGGAAGAAAAATGTTCCGAGAGGATTTGATGGACCAGATGAATGCTTCTGATTCTGTCAAGAAATTACATGGAGACATCTTTGTAATCTTATAGTTTAAGACCAGCATGCTCAACTCAATACCTGTCACTATGACATGTACCAGACCATCTTCTTGGTTGCAGGCCACCTGTAATTGATGGCTTGTTCTTCTCCCCACAAATGATGGAGAAATTCTCATCACCAGCAGCTTGGAGATTATAAAGTATTATTTTCTGTCATGACAGCCTTTGCTAAGTTGGGTTACAAAAAGGTTTTGTATCTAGTGTGATATGGTATAAAATTAGTGTTCTAAAATACAGACTGATGCCACTCACAGTCTATGAGCCTTTGATCATCTGAAATAAACTGGTGCTTGCAGCAAGACAACTTCTAAAAATTCAGATCACAATATCTGTATTTTTCCATCAATGCAGTAAAAGTAGTGCTTTCTGTAGAACATATCATTTCCCACTATTTAAAAAAGCCTTTTTCTTGGTAAGTAATCATCAGTACTGCATATAATTTTAATACCATTCAAGCAGCGATCAGCTCTCTTTCAGCCCAATTCTTGTTCCCATTCTAAGTGGTTGTTCCAGTGTGTATTTCTCCACAAAGTCAGTTTTTCTTGTAAGTTTTGAAACTGATACTGCAGTCAAAGGTGATTTTAGAGCACTCTA